GATATCGCGAGAGCTCAGGCAGCCGGCCACGAGAATTTCTGGCGGGCTGGCTCTGGGGCAGGACCTTCAGCACGGTGGGAGAGGGGCGGGGCGCGGCCGGGCAGCTGGCGGCGTGTGGCGGCAAGGGCGGGCGCTGATGGCCTCGGCCCCCAGCTACACCTTCCAGGCGGTGCAGGGCAACGCCGACACCTTCTGGAAGTCCCAGCGCTACCACCTGACCGTGGAGTACCACGAGCGCCCCGCCCTGGCCCCGCCCTTCATCCTGCTCAGCCACCTGGGCCTGGCGCTCCAGAGGGCCCTGCGGAGAGGCGCCCGGCCGAGGCGGGCGCGCCTGGGTGAGCAGGGCAGGGCGCGTCCTGGGTGCCCTGGGGGTGGGGTGGGGCGCCCGCCCGAGCCCCAGACCTCGCTCTCCCAGACAGGGACCTGCCCCAGCCCCTGGACCAGAAGGTGGCGGCATGGGAGGCTGTGCAGAAGGAGGACTTCCTGGGCAAGCTGGCCGCGCGGCGCAAGGACAGCCAGGGCGAGCTGCTGCGCAAGGCGGCCCACAGGTGCCCGGGCGCGGGTGGGGCCCCTGCCTCAGAGCTGGGGGGCTGTGGGTGGGCCTGGGGTCCCCCTGCCCCTCCACGAGGGGGGCCCCCGGCGCCCTGTGTCCTCGTCAAGCCCAGGAAGGGCCCGAACAGCCCGGTCGGGGCCAGCTGAGGGAAGGCCCTCGGGGGGACGTAGAACGGGAGACTCCCCAAACTGGGTGCTTCCCGTGGCCATCAGCAGCCAGGGACCCGGCCCTTCTGCTGCAGGGCGGACTTCGTGGTCAAGTACCTGGGGGGCCTGAGGGAGCAGGACCGGCGCATCAGGCGGCTGGAGTCACAGGTGCGCCTCTCCGCCCAGCCCCGCGCCCCACATGCTAACAGCGGGGCTGTAGGCGCAACTGCTCAGCAGCCCCGAAGCCGCTCTCTGCCCCACCCTTCAGGCCGTGGTCAGCAGGCGGGATGAGGGCGTCACCGGGCATGGGGCCACTGCCCGAGGGCAGGTCGGGTGCCCCCTGCGGTGCCCTCTGGGCAGGATCTGAGGTCTCCCTGATGCTCTTCTCCCCACCAGGTCAACTACTGCACGGTGCTCCTGTCCTCTGTGGCCGACTCTCTGGCCCAGGGTATCTCCCACCAGAGTAAGCAGGGGTGTCCAGTGTCCCCTGCCTGGGCTTCTCCCGATCCGTAGGGGCTTGACCTGGCCTAGTGAAGGCCCTCCCGGTCAGGGGTGAGCTGCAGCCACGTGCGCCCCCAGCACTGCCTGGCAGGCCCCACAGGGGCCCTCCCACCCCACAGCTGAGGCTTTCCTTCCCTACCAGACCCTGGCAACTTGGGCACCAGGAACCTGCAGGCCTCTGCTGACAACGGTCCTGGCAACAGGAAGCACCCCGAAGCTGCCCAGCTGCCCTCAGACACCATCCCCCCGGGGCCGTCAGCCTGAGCTACCCCAGCCTAGATCTGGGTGGGCAGGAGGGGCGCAGCGCTGACGCATGGGATGTGGGGTCTCGTGGGAGGAAACCTCCAGGCCCTGTGGGCACACCCCCCCATGCCCATCGGGTGTGACAAGCCCTCCTGGGAGCCACCCCACCCCCCAGGTGCCCCCCGGACACCCCACCGGCCTGCGACCCTAAGAGACGCATCTTTCGAAGCACCAGTGGTTGCTCCTTCTGCTGAGCTGGGGCTGGGCGCCGGGGGCTTGGGGCACTTGGCTGACCGCTGGCCGCTCGGCCTGCGCGCTGGGACCGAGGCGCCCGGGCGCTGGAGTGAGGGCGCGGGGTGGTCTGGGCCTCGGCCCTTGGGGGCAGGCGCCGGCAGAGGCCCCAGCACGGCGGCTCTGTGGCTCAGCAGTCGGGGTCTGGGGCGCCCTCCCCGGCCACCAGCCTGGCTCTGGCCAGAAGGGCAGCCTGGCCGCTCGGCGGTCACGCCCCGCCCACCCCCAGGCCGCGCAGGACAGGCAGGCCAGAGACACCGCAGCGAAGTTGCAGGACCTTTACTGCGCGGGCCGGCCACCCGCCTGCTGGGCCTCAGGCCTCGGCGCCCGCAGGCCCCGGGCAGCCGCCCCTGCTGCGGAAGTGGTCCCGGC